GAAATCAAATGGAACGACGCACAAGCTGTCTCCATCTCCGTCTCGATTTGAAATCTGCTTGAAGACTGATATTTCTACGCGATACTGCAATTTGCATTATAAATGGTAACTTGAATTGGACCTTATATTAATTTGTCTGTTAGTCTGTCTGTCAGTATACATAAACTTGTATTTTCTCGGTATAGACACGAGGCTTATTTACAAGTGGGTTATTCCATGGTATACCACGAGAGAGCTTTGCATAGCTATTAAATACCATGCCATAGAAAACAGTACAGTGGCCAACACAGTCAGTGCGACATACGCGCGGCGCATGATGGGAAGGTTGGATGTAATACCGTCAAGTATACAACGGCTGTATTTTTCATGGCATGGTATAAAAGACATTGTTATCCAACTGTAGCGAATACCGTCCAAATAACAGTACAAATATACAGCGATATTGTACAGTTATTTGTACAGTAGCAAACCTGTTTGCCGTACAGATCGGCGCGCGCACGCAAAACTGTCACACTCTCCCTCTTTCACTGATAAATTTATTGACTACAGCAGTTGGATAATAAATCTTTTATTAGATATTTTGGTATGTAGTATCGCTTTATATTTTTACTCGTTGTTTGTACTTTGACTCGCCCTACGAGCTTGTCAAAATGCAGCACAACTCGTAAAAATATACAGCGATATTACACACCAAAACATCTGATATATATATATCCCAGCCTGTAGCTATATTTAGTGATTTTTTATTTTTAACTCTCATTGCTCGACTCGGCAAATCAATGCTAAATAAAAACTGAATGTTGATTAGTCATCTCCAGTGTGAAGTCATACGGCTGGTGCTTTCTCCTGTCACACATCAGCTTAGCGGTATCAGCTACCCGGCCAAGAAAAGAGATCTTTTAAAATATCTAAATTGCAAAGCCGTGAACGAAGATCCTGCTTGATTGAACTTTGGATCTCACAGGAAATCTACATTGTAATCAGCCAACCTTGAAAAGTATAAAACGATGGTAAGTCAACTGAGACTACTGCAAGGCTAACACAACGTAGTATGTTTAAAACAACATTTCGGCTGGCCAGACCAGCCGGGCTTCAGGTTTAAAATATGCATCTCGCTGATTACAGTCAAATGTTAGTGCTTGGCTTTTTTCACCTGTCGTTACGCAACAGACAAAGAAAACGTAGTTTGATCAAAACGCCGGATTACGCATGCATGAGAGGCTGCCGAGTTATAAGCTACATCGACTGACCAGGATAAAGCGCAAAAAAAGAAAAAAGAAAAAAAAAAAGAAAAAAAAAATAATAATATTAATAATGAAATAAAAATATATAGTGAAAAACCTATATCAGATGACTTCACTTGATACTGTAATTGGTTTGGAAGTACAGCTTAAGCTGGTAAACCCAGAAACTAACGACTGCAGGAGAAATCAATCCGCAGTTTTGCCTGATACAAGAAACACTGGTGAGAAATAAGGGGCAGTGTGAAGACGTCTCGCTCTCCGATCTCACGACACGACTACGTGTATGCTTCAACGGGGGGGTTTCAATTTTTCTGTCTGACGGAACTACAAATTTTTCTGTTCCGAAACCCTGGCAAGATAAATTGTTGACTGAATTAAATGGTGAAGCCATTTAATTGAATTAGTCTCTTTTGAACCTCGTACGAAGGTTTCATATATTGAACTTTTATCTCAGCTCATCAATTCCATCGAAACGAGGATTTTTTTTTTCCTTTCTTGTCTTTCTCTGTTTCATTAGTCTGCCTGGATACATTAATTTTCCATCCTGGGTTCCTTCTTCGCAAAACGGTTTCCTTCCTGTACAAACAAGAAGACAGGAAGGAAAAAACTAACGTCGGAATTGGCACTTTCATATTATGCATTTGAACCTCACTATTAAATCTAGACTGTAATAAGTAGTCTCTTTCTTTCTCTTGTGCGCGACGGGTTAACTTTCGTTTCCTAGCGTTTTAGATCGTGCCCCATTCTCTCTTCGTTTCTTTCTCTAATTTGCATAATCTTATAAATCATTCCCGCACACGGAGGATTTCAGGAACAAAAACCGACTACTGGTAGTCTATCTCCTCTCTATCTCTGTCGATCTATTTCTAACTCAAATCAGTTTTTTCTTGGATATGGTTTTTCAGTCATTCCCTATGAGCTATCTCGCACGTCTCCATCAACAATCTACCATACAATTTACTCAACACCAGCCGAGATTGATTTACTTGTGTTACTGTTGACCGTGAAAGTCGTAAAAGTTCTACGACCAGACACCAGACACCATGAAAAGGCGTGCAACGTCATAAACGTGGACGCCCATATGAGTTGTAAGCTAGGCGGGTCTGTTTCTGTTCAGCCCAGACAAATAAACTTGCACGCCATGTTTCAGTCTTTCATTCAGCCCTAGTGTGCATGCGGATGGGGTGATTTTACGCTTGAGAAATCCAACAGGGGGTCAGTGCTCCTGAAGCCAAGAATAGACTGAGACTATGCGACATCCGGCATTTTCAAGAGCATCCCAGCAAGACCACCAAACGCTATTTTTACGAGCCTTGGATGAAATTTGACAAACACTGCACTGCATTGAGTGTTAGTCACACCCGATTCCAGACCTTTTCACCAGTCAGATCTTCGCTTCACGTACATGTATCCCTTTGGCTTAACCCGTTTTCTTCATGGTAAATTGCGAAAGTCTAGTTCACCTGCTAAAATTTCGTCTCAAGATAATTGCTGTACTCTACGTCAGAGTATAAGCCGAAAATCCCCGTTAGAATTCCGAAAAGTTTACATCCTGCTTGGCCGAGACCAAACCCATGCAGAAGTATTTGTACGACCCTATCACAAGCACGACAGGCTTTAAGATCAGCTGGAGGTTCAAGAGTACTTTCGTAAGTCGAATTAGCGCTCACCCTTACCGGGTGCTGAGTTTTTATGATCTGTTCGATTCTCTAATACCTGTGGATGCCATTTCAAATGCGATATGATCATTCTCGAAGTTGTAGATGGTTGTAAGAGGTTTACAGTTGGTATAGACAAGATTAAAGAGAATAAATTACCTCCCAGGGCGCTTATTTTTGATGCGTGAATTCCGCTCTGCATTTATAGTTTCCGTTGCGGTTTTGCACTGTATGGAAATTTTCTTAAACTGTTCTGTGGTTGCCTGCGAGCAGGCTCTCACGCGCTCGGCACTGACAAAGGCGAAGCCCCGAGAGACGAGTCGGTGAGGGGCCTTGCACTTGAAATCACGCTGAACATTTCATAACTTCTTAGTGTGCAAATACCTGTAGCTTTTAAAATACAAGCGTTGAAGGTGTACTTCCTTGGGGAGAAGTCAATTCTAGGTGAAAAAAACAAACAAAAAATTGCAGAGTACTGTACTGTTTTAATAAGGTCCGTATAAGTTACAAATGACCAAAGTATAGTTGCATAATGTGAAAGTCATGACGGAACTCCTATCCTTTTTGGAGAGATAAACGATTTTCTAGTTATCGCTAGAAAGCAATAAACAAGGTGTAGGTTTTCGCTTGTCTGGAGCTGAGTTGTCAGTTCCGGGGGAGTGTAGTGCACTTCAGATGTTTGATGAAACACACCTTTCAGCCCTAGCTGCCATGCTCGGATGAAGCTTCTCTTTCTGAAAAATAACAAACAAAGATCAAAAGAACAAGCTAGAACGGTCACTCGTAACCACTTGTTAACAATTCAAAATAATTTCTTTTGAGAATCAAAGTTGTTATATTAAATTGGCCCTGAATGTGGTAGAACGGGTTAATATGTGCGAACGAAAAAGTAAAAATTGTCACGAGAAAGTTTCTTTTAAGTTCTTCTTCCTCCAGCCTCGATCTCGATCTTTGTTCCAACGAGAATCCTACATATAAAGTCTTGTTTTGTCTGAGTCAAAATATTGCGTTGTTGCATACAAAGCCGGTATCTTTCATGATATCAGTATCTGCCTCAGTTCTGGGGAGTGGAGTAAATTAATTGTGTGTACGTATCCGACAAGCATGTTTTGGCAAATATTTGGGTAATGTTAGACACTGAAACACTATGTAAACAGCCTTCAAATTAAGGACGAATATTTCGTCTTGATGGAATTGAATATTTTTGAAGGTTTGGGTGTCGCTTGGAGGTTTGGAGTTCGAAGAGTTGTTTTCGATCCAGGAGTACTGGAAAACCGCGGTGGAAAGCAACAGGAAAGACCAAACATAAGTCTCGAGTGGCTTTTTAAGATGAAATCTCGAGTGCCGGCGTTACGCGGCTGGTCGAAAGTTGAGCTATCTCAATTCCTAAGCCTAATTGAAGCCTTTGTCATTAATATTGATACTATCAACCCATTGCAAAAGATATTCTTATTTTGATTACTCAAGCTTTAAATTGATCTCGACAGAATTAAATGCGAGTATTAAAAAACAAATTTGCATTCAACTGGAGAAAGTGGGTCCGCGCTAAACGAATGGTTTGCGCGCGCGAATCGTCATCCTAGATCATTTTAATATTTGTCAGTCCAGATTAAAAGATCGATTTTCCTAGAGATTACGAGAAAACTGTAAGACGCATTTGCAAAATAATCAGTCTCTCAGGATAAAGCCATACGCGGAAAGTATTTCCGGTTCGAAACCGCAAGGCATTGTCATTGGTCGCCATTGTCACACGCCGGAAACGAGTAATTTCCAGAGATAACATTGTGATTAACCGAGTTTAACATACCTGCCGTATTTACAAAGTTTATAAAAAGAAGGAACATCGGCTCCACTTCTGTCATCTTGAAACAGAATTGTTTGCTGCTTTGAAAGCGCCTTTTGTGTTCTTTGTCAACAGAACCTGAAACCACGCCGCAATGTCGAGTGATCTTCTTTGTCTTCATTTCCGGCCGCCAATAACAGATAACGTCACCATTCCGTTTCCGGTTAGTTTCCGCAAGCTTGCGGTGATACGCTGTCACGTGCAGGCATTTTTGATCAACAAACGGTTGTGAAACAGTCAGGCAGACCGCTTGCAACGCTTTTGAACCTAGACGAGACGTTCATGCCGTTGGTTTTTTTCTCATCCCAAAACGAGCTCGCGGCGTCGACTTTTCAGTTTCACCCAGGTGACAATTTCGACAATTTACCCGCCGCGTAATTTCCGGTTTACAGTGAAGGGGTCACTGTGTGATCTGTGCACTCCACAATAGCCGTGCTAACTCCTGTCCTGTTTCATTTGTTTCTTGTGGTTTCAGCTTTTCGTGGGCGTAGAGCGGAAATATCAAGAGGTAGAAGGCGTAGAAAGCCGGTAGCATGTATTCTACGTTAGAACATCAGCCGAGTTTAAACTGCGCAGACAAACGGCCTCGACTGGACGGTCTACCACTGACTCACGAACCCCGTGTTTGGCCTTACAGCCCGAGACCAGAAATGTACCCGTATCAAATCGATGCAAGCGATCACAGCAAGTCGAACTCAAGGTAAGTGTCTTTTGCTGTTAAATTTCTACCACCACTTCGTGATCTTAAGGGGCTTTTTATGAACTACATTTCCAATAGTAAACGTGCGCCTGGTCTTGAAATCATCTGAAACTGTTAAAGCAAGTCAGGAAAAAAATAATTGTCGTCGTGTCGTCTTTCCAGCCAAATTTAACCCACATGTCAGACCGGTGCTTCCGCTCTGATGCTGTCTTTGCGCTTTCGATAACTGCTGCTAACCACCCTTAGCTGTTTCCTCTGGTATCGTCATTAGACTAGGAAGGAAGGCCTAGCGCTAGATCGCGCTACAGAAACAAAACGATCTCTTTAGGTATCCCGCGCACGATTTAAATTCTCGTTATCTCTTGGCAAAGCGAAGGAAACTATTCAGACAATTTTGAAATATTCATCAGCATCGACGCTTACATTTGATTTCACGGTTGACTTCGGTGAATATTCCGTGCGCAAACCAAAACAAAGGTAAGCTAAGTTTTTACACCCTTTATTTTATTCAGCTGTTCGTTTTGAATTGAAATGACTTTTTTTAACTTACGAGTACTTAGCTCGGCAATCGGCTTTCGCAAACAAGGTAAAACCAATAGAATTGATATCTTCTTAAAATTGTAAAGCTGGCGTTGTGAATAATCTGGTAAACACTCGTTGCTCTCAGTTTATAATGATGCGGTATATAAGGTGATTGGAATTATCTGGAGACGCCTTCGGCAGTAATAATTA